TAAAATTTTGAAGTGACGTCATCATTATTGGTGGGGATGATTAGACAAATTTTGGTTGGCGTTTTACCATCTACATGATATTCCTAATACAAGTACAAAAGATTATCCGAGATTATTTGTCTAATAAAAACAGGGACGGCAGACAGACAGACGGAAACGGGAGACCTATTTCTTCGTACTGTAGTGGTCATGAAAGATCGAGAAAACGTAAAAGTAGAAGGTCGGCCGACGGACTCAAAATGAAGGAGTTGCAATTTCTTATCTCCAAAATCCATATCATGTAAAAAATCGATCCGTTTTTTGCCAACTTAGATTTTAATCCAATACGCTGCATATAATACCAACATCTGTATGATGGAAATGTCTTGTTTTATTCGTTTTCTTTCAATTCGGTTAAACACGCAATAAAAATTGCCTTCGAAATAAACGTAAATGAAGAAAAAATTTCGCTGCTAATTAATTTGAAATTGCATCCTCGGTGTAACTACCGAGATAATAAAAAAAACACAATCAAAAGGAGCCATGTATTCTTGAAGATTTATCTTTGATGCAATTTTCGTTTTGTCAGCTCACCGTCAATGTGAAAGTCTGAGTTTACAATGCTATCGGTTGAACAAAAAAGATTTTTACTGGAATCATACCTATTTACTTTAGAAATGGACAAATCTTCAAACATAGATGGTTGCCTTTGATTGCGTTTTTTATTGTTGTCTAGGTAGTTTTTAAGAGTTATCTACCGCTATAAAAACGACGAGCGAATTTAGACACATTCCTTCTCTCGAATACGCGAGTCGGGCGTTCAATTTTATTTAGCTTTGTCCCTTATTAGCTCTTTATTATTATTATTATTATCACTGAATCAACTGAACAAACGTGTATCTGTCCATAATTTACTATAAATTTCGCTTATCAGGAATTAAGCATTATTATTTGTAGAAAATCATTTTCTCTCTAACCATCGAATGGCCACTTTATCGCGTTTCACTCAATTCGTCTGCTCATCTCTGATCAATGATCATAATGCATAAATTACCATCTCGAAGATTCTCTTCATGAAGAAACGAAAGTTGCTCAGCCAGTATCGATGAACATTTTTCAAATGTATTTTTGTAAGTCAGGTCACATAACAGTTTCTGTTGTAGCAAAGGTTTTAATTATCCCGATTTTTAAAGACATTGATTGTCGCCGAATTTAGTGTCGTGCGAGTCAGTACGTCGGTTTTAGAAGAAATGGAAGCTCCGATCTGGTCGATAACGCAATTAATTTCTGACAGTTTAATGGTGCTTGCCGGTAAGTTACACTTACTTTTGAGAGAAACGCGAAGAAAAAAAGTCAAGGTCGATTATAATTGATAGATGTGACACAACTTGTTGAATCACAGCAGTAGTTCGGAAATTTGTACATCTTCCGTGTTATTGATTTTTATTGATGTATTAATTTTAGTTGGACTAGCGACGCCCCTCATTAAACACACGAAAAATATATATCATAGAGGTTTTTTCTGCAATGATGAGGATATCATGCACCCACTAATAAGTCCCTCATTTGTCGAAAGTAGGTGGTTCCACTTTGTTGGAGTTCTAATAAACATTGTTGTGGTAAGTGAAAATAAATGTATATTTTTACGTAGTTTTATTTTGAGTTTTTGAGATATATCTCAGAATTTAAATAATGTAATTTTTAACAAATTGTATTTTACGTCCATGACAGCGTTAGAGGCTCAGAATTTGGAACTGGCATTTTTTTTCTCTAAAATTGAATTTCTACTATTAATTACTCTAATTTCTAAATATTAAAATTCTCTAATGCATGCATACTTTGAATATTCATTATTTACTTGTTTTTAGAGATCCACAATATGCAAACGGTGATTGGACTGTTTTTCAGGACCATGCATATTTTCACAAAATTTTTAAAAAAACGGAACTTTATATATTGTTACGTTTTTCGGGTATTTAAGAATCGGCGTGGGTAACGACTAATTACACAGCGATTATGTACAAAATAATTCCGCCACAACACAAGACCCCAGGTCGAGTTTCTGATAATAATACTTTCGATTTATTTTCTATTGCTCGAGTGGTATTCGTTACGATTATATAATGAATGTCAACATAAGTTATTTCTTTATTGTTTATAAAAATAGAACGTACAATTATTACAATACACATTGTTTGTGATCCAAGAATCTTACTGGCACAAGGAAGAAGTAGATGGTTCTGATTATGACGGAGTATCTGAATTGTTTCAAATCTGATTTATGATTTTATCATGATGTTGTTCGTTAAGTTTAAAGTAAGGCTACAACGAATGGCCCGTTACTTTAATTACTTCTTGTAAATTTGGATCAGAACACGCTAATACACTCACTGCCGAAAATCGGTTAGAGTGGGTCGTAACTCTTGCCTTTTTAGTGTCTGTTCCAACATTTTCTGCACCTAAACGCGTCCACTTACTAATTTGGTTTAAACCAACGGGACAGTTCTTGTACCAAACATTTGTTGCTTCCCAATCCTTATTTTTGGCATCAAAAATAAGCGATTCGTCTTCATATTCGAAGTTTGTTTGGCCATCATCTTTTCAAACAACCTCACCGGACATAAATCTTCGATTTCTTTGTTAGGTATCAGCCAGTTGCATTCAACGAAGTTTTTCTCACCTCCTTGGTTTGTTTTCCAAAAATAGTATTACACTCTAAACGACCCGTTGGTATCCCATAATTATTGCTACTTTCATGTTTTCTCGACGTTTCATGACCGCTAGAGTACGACAAAATAGGTGTCTCCTTTCCGTCTGTTTGTCTGCCGTCTGTCCGCGTCTGTGTCGATTGTTATTGGATAGATAATCTCTGAAATAATGGGACTGATTGTTATAAAATTTTGTATGTATATTAGGAATATTGCGTAGATGCTAAAAAAATGAGTTTTAAAGTTTTAGGTTGTTAAATTTTGTTTTTATTCAAAAACTGTACTCTTGCTGTACATTTGAAATTTTAAATTTCAGTTAACCTCGACTCCGAAATAGTTTACTTGATGACCTGATCTGACCTAACCATTCGTCATGCTGAAGAGACTACAAAACTTATGTCAAAAGCAGACATATTTCAATTTATTAGATTATTAGGGAATTGGATACTGGTGCCTTTTTGTACAAAAAGTTATCACTAATATGACTATAATATCCAATAATAATATGTCACTAAATTTTACTAATAAATGAAAACACTGCTTGTTTAAGAAAATATAAACCCCCAAGTTAATTAACTTCTTTTCCAGATAGTCTTCGTCGAATACTTCCTATATAAAAAGTACTACGAAAGAATCACATTCTGGCGGTTTAAACTATCTATGTGGATCTACAATACTTACTCAGTCCTTCTGTCATTCGCTTTTGGCGTTTTAATCTGCATTCTAATCACAACAGTGCTAAAAGGATCAATAGGCCGCTTACGTCCAAGCTTCATCAATGCTTGTATACCAAACATTAACTGCTCCCTTTTAGAAAACCATCACGTCTATCACATAAACTACGAATGCACTAATAAAAACTTTGAAATTAATAACAGGTAAGAATTTGAATTTTTTTAAGTAGGTAAATTATTAGTACTAATTTTTCTTCCAGACTTTCCTTCCCTTCAGGGCACAGTAGCTTTTCCATGTTCTGTGGAATTTTTTTGGCCATCTACGTCCAGAAAAGAATTATCTGGAACATTTCTAAATTGTTTAAAAGCTGCATCCAATTTGCATTAATGCTCATAGTGTTATATGTAGGAGGTAGTCGAGTTTCTGACTTCAAGCATCACTGGAGTGATGTTCTAGCTGGATATTTAATCGGGGGACTGTGTGCTCTTTTGGTGTGTATAAATTTGTACGGAAATTTTCATGGATTACCGTTGTCACAACACAAACCGAAGAATTGTGTAAGTCCGGACCTCAACTTGAAATGAAGTGATAAAAAATTTAACAAAAGCGTATTTAGTTTGAATTTATCGCCAAAGTTATATTTGTGCCTTAGATTTCCTTATCTTCAAATTCTTAGATACCTATTTTTTGAACTTCAGCTGATTTTATGTTTCTTAATATAGAATACCCTTATATGTATATATAATATATTGTATATATGTACTTTAAATTTTTTGGAAAAAAAAATTCGGTTCTAGATGGTCCCTTTTCGTATTTAAGTTTTTTTTTTTGAAGTGACATCATCAACTTTCTATGTAGGTACCTAAGCTCTTTAAAGGTATGTATTAGGTGTTGGTTTGGTACTGTGTTAAAATATGTCGACATCAGGCTAGTGTCGTGTGTGGTAAATGTTGAACAATGAGACCAACATAACATCAAAGTCATTTAACAGATAAATAGTTCTAGTTCTAGTAGTAGTAGTTAAACTAATCTTGAGTCGCAACCATAGACGCAACCAATTAGTTGGCTCTATTTATAATAATAATGCAACATTTGTCGTTGATGCCGTACTGTATTTGTGCCGGTACCTGTCAGACTGTGGGTGGTTATGATTATTTATAATTGCCGCCATCAGAGCGGGCCAATAACAAAGAAGCACCTTTGAGAGAGAAATCGATGTAACTTACACTTGGCAATCCATAGTACTGATGGTGATATAGAAAAGGTTAGACGACACAAAGTATTGCTATTCTTAGATCATACATGTTGGTCCCAGATTGGGAAAGCTATGACCACATCTGTCTTTTACATATCTCTGATCAAAACACGTTTTTATTTATATAATTTTGACATTTTTATTATGAAATTTCAAATTTGAATTTTTTACTACCAATTTATCAGTGTAAAAATACACCCTAGAGGAGGTTTGTTTGATATTATTACCTTAATTTAACAGGTGGTTGTATTTTAATTTTTAAAACAGCAGTATTTTGAAACCATTTGAATCTGGTGTAAGGACTCTATCTTGATAGTGTATGTTTTTAAAGGTTTATGAACCCGTACGCCCGTACCATACTTTTTCTTGTTGTGGCAGAACTGCCAACTCTGCCAACCTAACCCCTGGTAAAACCCCATACATACCGCAAACAAACTAATCGACGCGTCGGAATTTCCACATTTCCACAAGATCCAACCTCTAAATTAAGAATGTAAACATCAAAATCGGTTCTTCGCTTCACAAATAGCATCAGACTGTCCCACCTGCACCGACCGAACAAAAACCGGCACCCAAATGGTAAGTCATATTTTAGGTTATGTTGCACGCCACATCCTTCAAATATTGTTTACATTAGGACCCCAACGTGCCGCCACCGACTTTTCCTCCCCCAGGCATGGGCACTCCACCCTTGATGCCCCCGGTACAGATGCCCCCGATGGCCGGATTTCAGCCCCTTATTCCCCCGTTCAGTGTACCGCCGCCAGGCTTCGGCGGCTTTCCTCCACCTCCGAACCCAGCAGAGCAGTGGACAGAGCACAAGGCACCTGATGGAAGGACTTACTATTATAATTCTATTACCAAACAGAGTTCATGGCAGAAACCAGATCAGCTAAAATCTCCCTCAGAGGTGAGTTTGTTTGGGGCTGCTGAGGGTTGTTAATTGCGTGTTTGTAGCTGCTATTGTCACAGTGTCCATGGAAGGAGTATGTGGCTGACAATGGGAAGATTTATTATCATAACGTGAATACAAAGGAGTCGAGGTGGATCATGCCCCCAGAGTTGGAGGAGATCAAGAAGAAAATCGCTGCTGAAGAGTAGGTTGATTTTTTATTAGTTTGGTGCAAGCTGTAGTTTCTAATGATTTGTTTTTTCTAGTAATAAGAGCGTTTCTGTATCAGCTACAGCCACTCCCACAGAAGTTGCAAGCCCTGCCCCGCTGTCAGTGGGATTGGTTGCTTCCAACTCAAATTCACCAAATGTGGCCGCGGGTGAGTTTACAAAAGATCAGAAAGTTAGAATTTCAAAATTTTGAATGTTTTCTATATGCATAATTGTTTAGTTTTGAGCGTTTACCCATATGTGTTTGAACATTAAATTACTTGTTATTTCAGCGGCGAGTCCTGGGAACAAGAGTGCCCTTGAATCTTCTATGGCGGCTACCTTAGCAGCCATTAGTCTTCCAAACCCAACTAAAACTGGTAATATTTCTTCACTTGTATCAATTCTTCATTAACCACCATGTCTTTTTCAGATGAAGATATAATACCCGCAATTCCTAGTGAAACGCCTAAAGAGCCTCCAAAGCCCGCCCCCGAGCCAGTAAAAGTGTTCAAAGACAAAAAAGAAGCAATGGAGGCCTTCAAAGAACTACTCAAAAGCAAAAACGTCCCATCAAACGCTACATGGGAACAGTGCGTCAAAATAATTTCCAACGATCCGCGTTACGAAACGTTCAAAAAACTAAATGAGAAGAAGCAAGTCTTCAACGCGTACAAAACGCAAAAACAGAAAGACGAAAAAGAAGAAAACCGGTTGAAGGCGAAGAAATCAAAAGAACAGCTCGAGGAGTTTCTGCTCAACTGTGATAAAATTGCGTCGACGACGAAGTATTACAAGTGCGATGAGATGTTCGCACATATGGAGGTAAATACTTTCTTCTAATTTCTTCATTTCTGATCGTTTTTTCTAGATCTGGACGAGTGTCAACGATTCCGACCGGCGCGATATTTACGAAGATGTTGTCTTCACGTTGGCGAAACGTGAGAAGGAAGAAGCCAAAGTATTGAAAAAGCGCAACATGAAGAAACTGGCCGAGGTTTTAGATAGTATGACCAAAATTAACTACGACACGACGTGGAGCGAAGCACAGGTTCTTCTATTGGCGAACACGGCGTTCAAGAACGACGTTAATCTTCTCGCGATGGATAAAGAAGATGCTCTCATTGTTTTTGAAGAACACATTCGTGTTCTTGAGAAGGAGCAGGTTGAGGAAAAAGAGAGGGAGAAGAAGAGGATGAAAAGACAGTGTCGGAAAAACAGGGATCAGTTTTTGGCTTTGTTGGATCATCTGCATGAAGAGGGGAAATTGACGAGTATGTCGTTGTGGGTGGAGTTGTATCCCATTATTTCTGCTGACATTAGATTTTCTGCTATGTTGGGACAACATGGATCTACGCCTTTAGATTTATTCAAATTTTACGTGGAAGATTTGAAGGCGAGGTTCCACGATGAGAAGAAAATTATCAAGGAAATTTTGAAAGAGAAAGAGTTTGATGTTAAAGTGGATACAACTTTTGATCAGTTTGCAACTGTGATTTGTGAGGATAAGAAGAGTGCAACGTTAGATGCGGGGAATGTTAAGCTTACTTACAATTCCTTATTGGAAAAGGTGAGGATTTTATTTTTTCTGTACTTGTTCTTATTGTGCTTTTGAAAGCTAAAATAATTACGCTACAAGTGTCACTAAACTTTTTGCTATTTAGTTCATTGATTTATGTAGTAAAAATTGGTTGAAGGTTATTTCGACAGATTTTTCCTCGCCCTTAAGGAACAACAAAACATATTCAGCTTTTTTGATAAATTATAAAATTTGATTTTGCGATTTTTTTTATGAGAACGGCCATAAATTAAAATTAATGTAGTGTTAAAGAAAAGTTAAAGTTTTCCATTACAAAATTTTGTGATGTCATCAACATTTTTGCAAGATCACGTATGTCACTTTAGATAGGTGCAGTGTAATACTAACAATAACAGTATTGTTTTTCCAAAAAAAGTGAACCGTTCCTGATTTAATCAAAAATAGATTGACTCATTCTTTTTTTTTGAGTCACTTGCAATCAATACCCTGTATAAGAAATTGTAAATAAATTGCAAATAGTCCGCACAAATGGGGACAAAATGTAGTATATTTCATACAAAGAACCAGCGGGAAAACATGTTTTCTCAGGGTTTCATTACATGCATAATTTCAACTGTTTATGTTTATAATTCGAAACAATTCACTATTAGTGCATTTCAGTGATAAGCATCTGCGTCAAAGGAAATGAAATTTCATTGTTTTTATCTCCCCAAAAAGAGGAGAGGACTAAATGTGATGAACCGTTGTTCATTTTAAAACAAGGAGCATGCTACGCGTATGTTTCAAGTGAGTTTTTCCGTAACAAAATTTTGTGATGAAGTCATCTACATAGATAATACGAGTCACACACCAGTGCAAAAGAGAAAAAAAAAAAAAACAAACGGACAATACATAAACCACTACTCTATTGAAGTTTATATCCTATGTTAGTGGTAAAATGTTAATATAATAATTTGTCTTTTTTTACAAAAATTTGAACGTTTAAGGAAAAACTTAAAGCAAATTCTTACACCACAAGTATAGGAGTATATTGTATAACATTTAAATCATTTTAATATAGAATTTTTTGAGATGACGTCATCCAATTGTTGGTGGGGATGATTAGCCAAATTTTGGTTAGCGTTTTACCATCTACGTGATTGCGGAGGGTGGAATAAGAACGGAGAAATTTGTGGCACCGACCTCTTTAAATCTAAGCATCGTTTACGACTATGTACTCGAGTTTATCATTCGTCATGGACTGAATCTTATGAAAACTAAATGGCTTTTGCAAGATTATTTACTTCCATCCCATGGTTTATAAAATTTGCACCTCACCATGTTGAGTTTATTAAGGAGAGAGAGAGACTCCAGTAGTTTTGGAGATCATATGTCTAATAGAAATTGATACAGACGACAGACAAACAGAAACGGAAGACCATTTTTTCGTACTCTAGGGGTCGTGAAACGTCAAGAAAACATGAAACTGCGTAGTCGCTCGAAATACTCGACTACATTAACTGTCATTTTAACGAATGCATGATTTTGTTTTCTTACGGCTTCACAGGTTGTGGGAATTTCCCATTTGTATCGTCTATTTTATATTTGTGTCCGTTGTCTCTTTGTCCTGTTATGTCTAAAGGGTGTTCAAATGAAAAAGTCGTCAAGTCGGCGTTGCTTTTTTGATAGAAGAAAACGTAGAGAAAAACGAAAAACGCATGTGTTTTATTAATTTATACTGCTGTATATACAGGGTTAGTCACGAGAGAATTACTTCTGAAAATTAATTTTACGCAACCCAAAATACGAATACCATGTACCATTTGATACTAACTGAATTTAAAATGAAATGCTTAATCCATGATTGCTTTGAGTTTGACAATCTCATTTTGACAATTGTGGAAAAGTAGGTTACGCGAGTGTCCATGGTGGTACCGCAGCCAGTCGGAAATCTCCTCCGGCGCCGTTAATAAATTTGTCAGTGTGCCTCTTGATCTTTTGCAACCGATTAATCACGAGAAAATTATTTCTAAAAATTTCTTTTACGGCATTTTATTCAAAGATTACAACACAAACTCAAACAAGTAAGTAAATAACACTATGCAACACAAAAAAATTCACAGGAAGTTCAGATAGTGTTTGAGGTTGAGTATACTCCATATACTAAAGAAAAAAATGTTTTATACTCATATCACATCACAAAACATAGATAACGGGTGTTTTGTTTTTCTTACTTTTTGAGACACTTGATTGCATTTAATCGTAAAAATATCGCTTTTATGTATCCACCCATGCTTGCAGACTTCTGTTGGTGTCTTCAGAGGGATACTGCGAGATCTGGCTATAATAGGAATGCCAATCGTTCGAAAAAAAAAGACCTTTTTCAATGAAAAATGAAGTATTGTTTTATTAATTTTGTATGATTTCAAAAAATTCAATAAACATTTTTCATTGTGATACCTGATGTGATATGTTGGATACCTATACTCCATATACTAAAGAAAAAAATGTTTTATACTCATATCACATCACAAAACATAGCTAACGGGTGTTTTGTTTTTCTTACTTTTTGGGACACTTGATTGCATTTAATCGTAAAAATATCGCTTTTATGTATCCACCCATGCTTGCAGACTTCTGTTGGTGTCTGCAGAGGGATACTGCGAGATCTGGCTACATTAAGAATGCCAATCGTTCGAAAAAAAAGACCTTTTTCAATGAAAAATGAAGTTTTGTTTTATTAATTTTGTATGATTTCAAAAAATTCAATAAACACTTTTCACTTTGAAACCTGATGTGATACGATTCTTTCAAGCATGATCCTCAATTGAGTTTGAGGTAAGAAATTTTAACTACATACTGTGCATTCTGTGAATTTTATTTTTTTTTAATTTGTTGCATAGTGTAATTTAACTACTAATGTGTTGAAAATGTTGGGCATTTTGGGGGGATGCTACGGCTTTTTTGTAAATGGATGGCCGAAGAAGTCCAGAGGCTGCAGATTTGCACTTCGAAGAGGCTCTAGGTGACGCAGACATGGTGAATTAACACATGTACATTAGCGGCGAACAACATTAGTAGAGCACTTACGGCTTCAGTATAGCCCAGATTGATCTGACTGTATGTCGTCGATCCAATGGGGCTCTAGAGGCGAGTCAACGATGAAAAAAATTTTTTTTAATTAATTAACGTCAAAGTGACACTGCCAAAGTCAAAGCAATCATAGATTAGGCATTTCATTTTAAATTTAGATAATATCAAGTGGTACAGGGTATTAGTATTTTGGGTTGCGTAAAAATAATTTTCAGAAGTAATTCTCTCGTGACTAACCCTGTATTAGACATTTCCGCGTTGTCATCGATTAAATTTTAGGTTAATTGTAGACATACTTCTCAACGTTAACAAAAAATCAAAGCCAACTTGATGATTTTTTTAATTGAATACCCGATTTATGTATAGTGTTTTTTTTAACACGGTCCATAGAAACTTGGCAGAATATTAGACTAGTATTTTATAAATCAATTTCAGTTCGTTTTATCGCACAGAACAAAAAATTACGGAACTACAACAAACATAAATGCAGTAAATTCACCACAAATTGACACATGACTCTTGGCCATGGCCTCCTCTATGGTTTAGCAATATGGAACGAATTTTTCTACCTTTTACATGCCAGGCGTAAGCTAAGTTTTATTATAATTCCATAATTATTTCCGTATGATAAAATACTCTGAAACGGATTTTTAACATACTTAACTAATATTTTGCCAAATTTAGCCTTAAAATCCCTGCTAGAGAACTATGACACGATCCGAAGTTTTTAGCACGTAATTCTCTATGGCCATCGTTAAAAAAGGCACTATACAAATTTTAGAAATATGGTGTAGATGGTAAAACGCTAACCAAAATTTGTCTAATCATCCCCACCAGCAATGTGATGACGTCACTTCAAAATTTTGCATCGTAAATTGTATTTAAATTTTATAAAATAATATACTTCAACGCTTGTCCTTTCCGTCTTGATTTCGATTGTATAACGAGGCTTTGCAATGTTACTTTGAAACTGCAAAGCAGATTGCTCTGAAATTTGCAAAGTTTTAAGAAGGCTCATGGGATTTTCAATATATTTTCAGAGCGAAGTGTTTCCGCTATTAACAGATCTATTGTTATGAAATTTTAAATATAACCTGCCCACACCTTTCGCTATAGGACTCAAGAGCAGTTTTTTAAATAGTTTATTGTCAGCTTCTTTTTAACATTTTAGTGAAGTTACATCTTCAAAAATCGAAATTTTGTAACGCAGTTTTCACCGCTGTTTTCAGCTCACAGAACTCTATGCATTACTCGGGAAACATTATCGATTTTTGCTGTATATTATTTTCAACAAAAGAAATCGACACTGTTTTCCATGTGAGGAATTGAGCATTGTAAGCTGAAAACAGTGGTTAAAACCGTGTTCTGAAATATCCATAAATAATTGAGACATTGAATTTTAAAAATATGTGATGTAAAATTTCACTGAAACTTAAAAAAAAAATCATAATGGTAAACTGTTTAAAAAAAACTGCCTCTGTGTTAGGTAGACTAAATTGTGGACAATTTATATTTAAAATTTGATGACGTTATATTAAAATTTTATCGAATAAATCCTATCTAAAATGTGCAAACATTAAAGTCTATAATTGTGGTTTACCTAGTGCAATATATATACATATATTAAATTAGTGCACAGGGTGACACAAAAAGATTAATTATTGAGGCTGTTTATTTTATTGATCCAATTAAGAATGCCTCACTTCATTTTCTAGAAATTTTGGGAGTGCAGTATGATTAGTATTAATTCACCTATCCACAGTAGTATAAGATGTTCTTGTTAAAATCTTAGTGACGTTACCACAATTTAATTTAATCCCGAGCCAATCCTGGACACATGGATAAGGACACTCCAGAGTTCCAGACCAAATTTATAAACAAGTGTTTCCGTAACATAATGCGTTGGAATGATAGACAGTGGCGAGGTATGGGTGACTAAAGTATGAAACATTAATGAATTCAAAAAAACAAGCTCTACAAGAATCTAAAAAAAATTAAAAATTAAAAAAATTGTCATTAAAAAATAAATGGGATGTAGACACAAAAAAAATATAGGGCGTCAAGACAAATTTATAGGATGTCATTTACCCTCCTATACGATTACAGGTATTACTTGTTTATATTTATTTTAATGTATAGAGGTTATCACACAAAAATTCGCAAAATTATTTTTTTTTAATTTTCAAATAAGGAGGATTTGTTGGTCTGTACTCCAGGGGCGAGGAAAATAACCTTCAGCCAATAATCTTCTTAATGGTTCATACCAATGAACACACTCAGTTTTTTTTCTGCGTCTCTATTTTAGGCCGAAGCAAGAGAAAAAGAACGCATAAAAGAAGAATCTAAACGTTTGAAAAAACTAGAAGCCAACTTTAAGAACCTTTTACGCGAAATGAACATCGATTACGAACTAAGTTGGGACGAAGTTAAACCGAAACTGGAAAGCGAAGAAGAATTTCAAGCTTTCAATTCCGAAAGTGAACGAATCAAAGTGTACAAAGTCAGTTTAGAACGTTAAGCGTGGATAGATAACTAATATTTTGTTTTTAAGGACTTCCAACACGAAATGGAAGAATCTTGCAGTCATCATCATTCCCGTTCGAAGAAATCGAAGAAGAAGAAAAGCAAGAAGTATAAATCTTCGAGTAGTGATTCCGAAAGCGATAAGAAGAAGAAGCGTCGGTCGAGGAGCGATTCAGTGAATTCGGAAGATAGCGAAGAGGAGTACAGGAAGAAGAAATCGAAAAAGAAGCACAAGAGAAAGAGCCCTTCTGTGAGTTATCACTGACGTTTGTATCTTTGATATTTTTTTGGGTGTTTTCTCATTTTTTCATTGGGACGTAGTCTTCACTTAACCAGTGTTTTTTTCTTCATTTCTTTCGTTTCGTTTTAGTGTTGTAAAGTTTAGTTCGTTGACTGATTCGGCTTAATAATGGCATGTATATATATTTATCAGATTAAAGGATTTCGAGGAGGTTATTTATTTTATTTTTTACTTTTGGTACAGAGAACTCCATCAGAGGACAAACATGTTAGTCGTAGACCATCAGAACCAGACGCGATTGGCAAGAGTGGTGAAATGAGTGAGTCTGAATTAGAGAAACAGAGGGCGCTTTTGTTAGCCCAATTGAAAGAACCTGAAAGTGAATAGGTTTAAAAAACGGGGTGGGGGTTAAGTAAGACGCCATCTTGTATAGATTTACTGTATTTTTTCATACATTACAATCTTAAATTACATAAAATAAAATAGACAAATTTATGTTACAAAAATGCCTTTTTCTTCTTGTAAAAATTCATGTAAAATTGATAAAAACGAAACACATTAAATGGCACTTAAAGTAAACTAAATACGTATTTTATTACTACTTGGATAAAACTGTTGTCTGCTGATTTAAATACTGACTAATATTTACAGGTTATACAATAAATATTTGGTAATAAGACCGGACTCAGTCTAACTGAACTGTGATGCTGATTATAACTTTACCCACCTTAACCGGTTATAAATATAGTATAGTACAATTGAGCAAACTAACGTTCGTCCGAGCGCTTCCCACCTGCTGCGCCATTTATGTAGCAACCTAAACAATAAAAATCAATACTCCTTTCAACTTCTTCCACCCACACTACCTATCTGCGGTGACCGCGGCCGTTCATCTGGGGAGCAGCCACGATGACAGGACCTGGAGGACCTCCCCTCGCTTCGTACATGTTTCGGGGAACTTCGGAACGCTCGAGCTCGTCTCCAGAGAGGTCTAAGTCCTGGACCATCTGCATGATCTCGCGCTCTTTCTTCATGTCTTCACGGTCTTCGACCTGCGGCAGAATTGGGTGAATCAGTGACGAGTCTATAGCTTCTCGAGTTTTATTTTTGGTTTTATCGCCAGCTCTTACTCAATCTAAAAATTGGAGACGACACAAACAGGTAATAAAATGTCGCCATAAAAGGAGATTTATGGATACTTGAAACTTGTTATTTTTTTAATGGGAACGACGGGCTTTGCTTGTAATTCGAAACCGACTTCATGTACAGGAATCTGCAATTAATCGCATTTAATTAGACACTTTCTTGGCAGAAAGTACGTGATCTTTGTATCAAGTCGTGCGAAGGTATTATGAAACGGGGAAATTGTTGAGACGTGAACAGCCCGAGCAGGAACGCTTTCACCACAGACATGCGATTTTTTTAACAAACGAATTCCAATATTTACGGTTTCGCACTTATTTTGTATGTTTTGATAAAAAGCTAAAGCCTCAAAGTCGCATCAAAGGAAAAAGGAGTATTAAAATGTCAACTCAAGAAAAAACTGAAAACACTTCAAATGCCACCAGCAATATCCAAAACCGATGCACCGGTGGGCGTGGCAATGTTGTAAATTTTAAATGTCATTAGTAACCCATTATGGACTTCATGGGTGTGACAAAGTACAATTATTGGTCATAATACTTGGCCAATAAAATTACAGTTCTTACTTGTCATAAAGTACCGTGATTTATTTAACCCAGTTACCGACGATGGCGATGATATCACAGAAATATGTAAAATATACGCTGTGTTTAAAAATAAGACTAAAAACATTTTAAAGATTGAACTTCGTTAAAAAAGGTGCACAATTAAACAAAGAATAACCACGTCTTCATTAACTATCCAATCAAACACAGCGAAACAAATCAGTACTCACATCTCCATTGGGTATAGGCGTGGCAAACTTCAAATTAGCCAATGACCCGTAACTCCGACTCCTGTGCTCCTGTCTAATCGAATACGAAAACGCTCTCTCATTTAAATGCCCCTTTTTTCTATAAATCCCCGTGTTGAACGGACTCTCCTCCTGCGGCACTGCCCCGCCTTGCGCATTCGGAACTCCGCCCATCAAATTCGGATCGTCTAAACCGTTCATGCTCTGAGCCAACTTTTTACTCAGCTTCCCTTTTTCCCTCCGTTTTTGCTTTCCTTGCGACTCCATCGTCGCATAATGTTGCATCAAATAGGCTTCGTGAGGAAAATTGACCGGCTGGTAGCTAGCTACCGGCGACAACGCCCTGTTGCTAGGCATATAAATAGGTTCCTCCATAGCATGCTTTGACTTTTTCTTGTTTTTAGGGATCGTGGTGGGGATGATGACCGGTGCTACGGGTACTAAAGGGGGCGGGATGGGACGTGCCGGGATTAGCATTTTCCCTCGGGGTCTATGTGAGAAGGTGTTGCCATGTTTGAAGAATTTGGGGTTGGGGAGGGTCTGCGGGTGCGCCACGATGTACATTGGTTGGGGCGGTGCCTGTGGGCGGGGCTTCATCATAGTTCCGGCGACGCTGTTCGCCTTGCCGTTCATCATGGGGTTGTAGAGGTCCTCCCGCGACGCGCTGAGCGCCTTCTTCGACTTCTTCTTCTTTTCTTTGATTGGAGGGGGCGGGACCGCCACCGGTTGGGTGATTTGGCGCGGGCGGGAGGGGCGACTGATGGTGGAGGAGGAGTAGACGTCGTAGATCGTGTCGAGGTTATCCTGAGACCCCGCCCACACTTTGTGATTTTCGTCTCCGTTGTAAATGCTGACGTCGTCTTTGGCGTTGCCGATGGTATTGATGGTCATGGTAGAGCCGGAAGTCGAGCGGGTCATTTTCCATTCGTCTAGCTGCGAATTGGGAGTTGCCATTAGCGTCTGAGGGGTTCCGTTTCGGGATTTTTACCTTATCTTTACTGGAAAGCCGATCGGATGCTAGGGTGCCGTATATGCTGCCAGCGGTGTCTACTTGTTTGGCGTATGAGGAATCGGCGTAAGCGTGGAAGCAGCATCTGACGAGGGCGTTGGCGGCTACTTCTCTTTTACAGATGAATGCATGGCATTCGAGGACCTTGATTCCAGTTGTTCTTCTCAATATGGCGGCGAAGAGGGGAGGATGGGTGGGATTGGGGGCGCGGGCGAATGGCGAGTCGAGGGGGAGGAAGCGGGGACTGGGGCTGTGAAGGGTGTTTTTTTCGGGGACTAGAACATACCTGAAAAAAAATGAGCATTGTATAGACTGTTGTAGCAAAAGTTCTATAACAAAAAAACATATAACGAAGAAGATAAAAAAAATTAGGTGGAAAAAGCTAAATAAGAAAAACTGACTCGAATATTTTGAATTGTAACTTATTTGTTTTAAAAAATATACCTATATGTACAGTTAAAAAAAAAACAACACAAAGAAAATTAAAGAGAGATGAAAAAATTGAATATTATAGTTAAATAGACAGAAGAATTATAAGGAAGAAGTAACATCAATTGGAACAAAAACCAAAGGAGTAAAAGTTATGGCTATGCGATCCTAAAGATAAAGATAAAACTTATTAGAAGCTTAATTTTTAGTAATTCAATTGTTTGTATATGCTGTTATTGTGATGATATGACATAATAAAACTTTAATGACCAGAATTTAGAAAACTTTAATTCTCATTCAACTCTAACTACAATTGTTAGCAATTAGAACTCTTATTAACACACAGTTTTCGTCTTCACTGGCGCTGTTTTAAAACTTCCGCGATATGTCTCCAAACTTCTATTTTTGTTTGTTCTTAAGTGGGATTCTTCTAGAAGAGCAACTTGAGTTATAATATTTTGAATTCTAAATTTCTCTACCCAGGGTAGATTAGGACTACAAGTGTTCTGAAACCTTCTTAAACTGGTTTAATTAGTTTCTCTCTTTAATGGCTTAAGTCGAATCCTTGACTTTTCTCAGAAAATCTGTTTATGCAACTTTTCTGTATCATAGCTTTACTAATTTGCTGCTTTCAATCCTACTCCTGTCCTACTCCTGACGCCAATGTGACAGTTGACTGGGATTTTTCGCGAAACGTCGATAAACTAGCAATTTTTATTATCATTGGAAAATTACAACCTTCTAATGCACAATTTCGATTCATTACAATGGTTTTGTGTTTATATCAGAATTCATTATTCGACTGACTATTTCTGCTTCAAACCCTATTTAAAGCACTGCTAAGGTACTTCTGGAATTGTTCCGTTTCTCGAGCTGTTCATTACCAGAATATTCTCGAATATGCCATTTTTAGCTCACCGTCGACATAATTTTGTAACATGATAAAGTAAATATGGTATGGACATCCCGTGAACCAGCATCGAGCTTCTTCTGCTCATCAGGCACGTCATGTCACGTCTATTGAATATGCCCTTCAAACGACCGCTGTTTTGACAGCTACAGTTTGACAGTTTTCAAATATTAATTGTTTATTAATAATAATTACCGTCTGCTTCGTTGAGTCTCTCCAATTGGTTACAATCGCCCGACTTATCAAAGGGGAAAATATCAAACGATGTCACTTCTTTCGGGAGTTACAGGAACCTGTAATCCTTTTTTCACCGTGCTAAAGCAAAGTTGAATTTGATGTGTCTGAATCAATAATATTACTAAAATGCCCGAAAAGTACTACTCTGTGCCTGTTTTTATATGTTTGATAGCATGGAATTCAAATAATCTTATTTATTCTCTGTAAATAGTGTTAGGAAAGAAACCCATACGCCGCCCCGGTACGACGCCTATGGGTTTTGGTATGTATGGCGAAGATGACTCATTGTCGGCGACAGCGGCCGGGCGGCGTTCGCTAAAAAACGCGTGAAAGAGGAACTCGCGATGGGTATTTCAGAAAGACCCGGATCGCCGAACTCTAGAAGGAAGTATGGGTTTAAATAGAGGCCACCTTCGAGAACGAGGATTATTCAGTCGTTACATTATCGGTTGTTATCCGATAAGTCAGATTGTGTCAAATAGTCAAACATGCAGCCGGCATTACCGATTCCTGTACCTCCTGATGTAAGCGCCACCATGTGTCAGTTTTAAGGGACTGGAGAGACTTTAAGGTCGTGGACTTTAATAGCGAATCAACAAAGACGACGATAATTACAATAAGTCTGCAAGCTTTGGCATTATAAACACACATCACACATAACCTAATGATTTATTGGGTTATTGTACTATGGAGAATGTGTGTAATCGTTTCCGACAGCACACAAAATTTATAACTCCATTTCTCGTAGAAGACATGAATCTTTGGGAATCTGTGAAAGTAAAGGTCCCTGGACCTTTTTTTTTGCTGTAATTATAACCCCCACGAGAACAGTAAGCCAGAAAAAACGAAAATGACAAAAGGCAATAAAATTATCGCTACTGTCAGAACCTGTTAATAAAGTATGTGTACCTAATTTTTAATAAAGGGTTAACATTGCTACAAAAATGTTTTTTCACTAGCAGCCTGGACGCATGCAAATGTCGACTCATTTAGTGGTAGCAAATTCAACTTTTGCTACCACGGGTTCAAAAAGAAAAATTGAGGTTATGTACGCAATGTTTGATGTGATTATTTCTTAAAAAATGAACAAATGTGTGCTACAAACATTACTTGAGTATACGCATGGTAGTTGGTAGACGGTAGAAGATAAAATGATTAACTCAGCGACAAGTATAAACGGTTTTCTTTGTGTTGAAGATTTAGATCAAGTTTGATTAGAAATCAAAACAAAATCATGTTGCGTCAAAAAATTGAACGTTTATTTTTCAGTTTATTGTCTTATGGTTTCTACTAGTGAAAAAAATAGTATATTAACCACGGTTGCAAAGCCACTTCTAGACCTCGCACTTAGAGCCCTCGACACTGCGCGTCTCGGGTTCTAATTTGCGCTCGGTCTAGAATGCTTGGCTCTGCAACCTTGGCTAATAATATACTATTTAAATGAAAAAAAAAGTTTGCTAGTCTTCTCAACAATTTACTTTTATGCCTAGGTCAAAAATAATTTGTGTAGATGAGGTTATACATAATCAAATATGTACTTCATTATCATTACGCATTCGTAATGTGTACAGAAGCAAAGCAATAGAAAAAGGAATAAAAACTAGGAATGAAAAGAACACTGAAACAAAAATCTGAGAAATACCATATGATCGAAAAAAGTCCTCTAGTAAGGCGTGAAATTTATTTTTAAAATAATAATCTTGGCATTTTAGTTATCTGACAGCTATGTGATTGTAAAATGCCGTAATGACCCTAAAATGCAGTAAATGTCTAACTGATGACTTTTGATTAGCTTTATATGAATAAAAATATATAGTAATAGTAATAGCAATAGTAATTTATTCATGACAAGAATTACATTGTAATTTTTCATACGTCAATAAATATATATTTTATATTTATAATATAAAAAGAATAAATGGTAACATTAGCAATGAGATTATTAAAAGTAATAAGTTATATCTATACCGGGCATTTCTTTTTAAACTGAACATAGGCCTATGTTTAATTTTAAAACGACGCTCTCAATGCATGGAGTTGTTGTAATGTTGGTTGCATTACCGTTGCAATTGACTGCGTCGTTTTAAAACTGAACATAGGCCTATGTTCAGTTTAAAAAAAAATGCCCGGTATATAAATCCATAATGCAAACATACTAGTTACGATTCCTCCGAAAGTGGGGTTAAAAATTTACAGATAAACGGATCAAATAGATTTTATATCAAGAAAACCACTATGAAAATAAATGTGAAGAAAAAGAGATTTCAAAAATGGATAGAAATGTTATAATCTATAGTTACTAAGAAAAAAATTGGTCGACGATTTGTTCGACAGAACTTCCCTCGCCTTAAAGTACAGCTTGTCAAATCCAGCTCTTTCGAAAAATTAAAAGATTTTACTTTGCGAATTTTATTATTTCTTATGGCAACCATTATAAGCTAAAATAAATATATGTATCTAATGTTTGAGTAAAGGTAAAGAAACGTGCTAACCGTTTGTTACAAGTGAGTTTTTCTATTACAAAATTTTGTGTTGATGTCATCCACATTTTTGCAAGGATGCATATATCAGTTTGGATAGACGCATTGTAATACTAATAATAGGTACAAGTATTGTATTATTGGTATTCTTGAAAGTGATTTATAATCAATAAAATAACGAAACAATTTAATCACGTTAATAACGGAGGTGCGACTGATGACCGAACTGAAATTCATTTATGGTACTTGTAATTTAAGACAAATAGCGATAACACTTATCAATCTGTAGACGTGAGAGTGAAACAGAAACTAAACTAAAATATGTTTTCTACGAATTCAATAACCGGATCACAATGCCGACGATCCAGACTTTTTTATTGCTCCGACTTCCGCCTGTTGAATAAAACACTACATTTTATTTTGATCTTCGATATTGTAATTCACATTTGGTTAATTATAACTTGTCTAGATCTAGAGAGGTTCCGCATCCCCTAGCCTCCCCCTAACTACGGCCTTGTCTAGGGGTTATGAAATATCGAGAAAATATGAAAGTACAATTGCACGATGAACTCCATTACTGTACGTCCTTAGCTAATCCTCGACAAGAAAAAGAACTTGAAAGTGTTTATGTTTATACATCGGAAGAATGTCACGTAGAAGTTAGTTTGATTTGAATGAGTTCGTCGCCTCAAAACAGAGGATCAAAACTATTAAGTAGTAAGCTACAATCGATAAAATGTTCTGAATATCATTGTCATAATTCTTATTAAATAAAGACGTTTGTATTTTCACATTTTCGGGAAAATGGGGTGACTCGTTCTTAATTTGTAACAAACCAAATTTACAACTTTTTAAAAATAATTTGCACTTTTGAAAGAGACTGCAGAATATAATTGAATAGTTGTAATTTACAAATACCGAACATTGGTCAAATGACTTCTGATGAACTCAAACTAGAAAAAATTTCAAAGATTGTCAATTTCATAAAGCACCAACAGAGACAAGTATAGACCTTAGAATATAACGTAAAAAAACTTAAAAATAAGACGATAATCTAATATAACATGAGAACTAATCGCTCCAAATATTTATCTGGCGCTATAGTTATCAAAACAAGGTTTTTCTAAGAATTCAATATGTAAAACGCCCCTCTAGTGACGAAAAATCTTTCTATTTTCTTGCCGAGATCCTTCAGACATTTCTACTTACACTCACGCCGTTATTAAGAGC